AATAGATAACTGGCGATCGGTTAACAGCATGGACCAACTTGACATTTTTTGAAAGTTTAGGTACTACAGTAACACGTTTGAAAGTTCGGGTACTAATTTGACATTACACCCAAAGTTTATGGTACTAAAGTAGAATTTTCCAAAAATTAAAAAGGGCCACCCTTGAATTATGTTGGAAAGGACACTTTAAGGCAAAAATAGATGACATTAGAAACATTGTTGATAGATCTGTTAGGCAAAGAATAAAATAATAAAAAGATGCTTATGTGGCATTGCTCAAGTTTGAAAAGGCCACTTTTGACCCTAAAGTTTGAAAAGACCACTTTAATAAAGTTAATTAAGTAAATTAAATAAATTACTCTAATTAAGATAATATTAAGCCAACTATGTAAATTAAGCAATTGAATACATAAATTAAATTAATTAAAAATTAAGTTAAGTGGTTGTTAACTTACTATTAATTAATCTAATTTAGTGTTTAAATAATAATTTATTCTTAATTGTTGTTAATTTTTTACTATTAAATAATTATTGTTAATTTAATGACTTTAATTTGAGAAAATCCTTGAAGTAATTTACTTCAAAGTTAATGAAATCTATTTTTTTTTATTAATAGATTTTTTACCATCTGAAGTGGTATTTTTTATTTTATTCATTGTCTAATAGATTTGTCAATGACGTTTCCAACATTGCTGTTTTTGCCTTAAAATTGGCCTTTCCATCACAATTCAAGGGTGAAAATGACAATTTTGATTCTTTAAGGTCTAAAGTAGTTCCTTTTGCAAAGTTGAAGGGTTGTTAAAGCCAAAAATCCAAGTTAAAAATGTTACTAAAATGATTCTAACCCTTTTGATCATCTCAAACCCCTGAAACCAAAAAATGATTTAGAGATTCACAATATGAAAATTAGCATCAATTGTATTTCAAATGTTATCTTAATTAATAATTTAATACCCACTCTTTGAGTGCCCTCATCTTGTTAGATATTACCTTTTAAGACCCTCCAACTAAACACATATCTTGCATTAGAAATTTGTTCCAAACCAAACTCTTCCATACATTCTGATCAAATGTGTTCCACACCATATGAGTTTATCAGCTTTGTTAGAAGGGGTGTATCTGACCATTTCATATAGTTTATTTCATATATATCATCATCCAATATATAAGCTATATAGGCAGTAATTTCCATTATTCACGTATGTCAGATAAAATATCTTTGGTCTTCAGGTTTCTATGTCCATGTCAATGTTATTGATACTAACTTGGTATCTAACAAAAAAAAAAAAATCTAAACAATATTTATCTAACAAAAAAACAACCCTCTTTTTCCCACATGCAATTTCGATGTGTAAAGGGTAGCCCAGTGTAAAGGTTCCCATTAATGCGGGGTCTGGGGAGGGGACATATGTACACAGCCTTACGGCCTCTGTATATACAGAGAGGCTGTTTCCAAGATTTGAATGCTGGTCACCCCAGCATATGAACTCCTCAATAATGAGACAGAGACGGATGGGCCAAAAAAGAAAATCACACCCCCCAAAGATAAATTTTTTTCTCTCGCTAGCAGTAAGGGATAAACTTCCATCTAAAGAGAGACTCAACAGGAAGGGTTTTAAATTTGATCCTAACTGCAAGTTGTGTGGAAAAAACGGAGTTCAAATCAGCCCCCCACAAGGCTGCACCCCACAACGTCCCACAACACATCCCCACCGTGTATTGAGAATATCTCCAGATGATGACATCATTATTTTAGGTACTATCACCGGGAAATGTTTCCAATACACTCGTGGGGTGCAGTCTTGTGGGGGGCTGATTTGATCTCGAAAAAACGAGGATGTAGCTCACATCCTAGTTAACTGCCCAGTGGCCTCGCAAACTTGGAGGCTAATTGGGAATTACATTCCCACCCCAACAAGATTGAATCCCTGCAACCTTAAAGAATGGTGGGATGGGATCCTCAATAGTGAGCCAGACTGGTGCATGGAGCACTATTGGTAAAAAAAAGGATACATGCTATGGCACTTATGAAAGGAAAGAAATGAGAGAATTTTCAAGAAAACAAACTTGAGCCCTCTAGAATTAGTTAATAAAGCCTTACAAAATTGCAAAGATTTCATACAAGCCCAGCTAACCCTAGGCCCAAACCCAATTGAGAGAAAGGAGAAGAGGAGGACTGGATAAAGTGGATATCACCAAAGATAGGGGAAATCAAGATAAATTGCATGCATCAAAAAAGGATAATAACAGATGTGCCTACGGATGTATAGCGAGAAACCACCTTAGAGAGGCCATCATATGTAAGGTAGGTTCCATTGGGTCCTCTTCTATCAATGTAGCAGAAATTAGGGCAGCCCTTGAAGCTCTAAACTAGTCGAATTTCTTCAGCAGAATGGGATCATCATTGAAGGAGAATCAAAAGTGACTATTGTGGCCCTAAAAGAAGCAGAGGATCCTTCTTGGAGATGCAAGACCATGCTAGAGGAGTGCAAGAGAATAGCAATGCAATCAGGACGTAATTTCAGATATCAGCACATCCATTGTGAGGGAAACCAGGTGGCAGATTGGCTGGCCAATGAGGGGCACTATCACGACGTGCATGGGACTACGTCGACTCCATGCGGGACCTAACTAACCCTAATCAGGTCCAACTTTTCTTATTCTCTAAACTAAAGGGCTAGATGAATTCAGTTGTATCATTATTATATGTAAATGGACATGGTTATCTTTATAAAAGTTTTGCCCAATTTAAAATTGTTGACATACATATTCTCAAAGAACTATTCAACCTAAAAGCTTAAACTGTTAAGTGAGGTCATTGAATAAGTTTTCTTCTCTAACACATACAGTACTGATGACATAAATACATATTTATATAATACTTATACATACAAATATGAAGTTAAATCAGGTTCGCGCTTATGACCCTAACTCTAACCCAAAATTCAAACCAAATCAAACCAACCCAATGACATTTTGGGTTGGGCCACCTATGTTGCAGTCACTAATTCCCAGTTTCTAAAAAAATGTCAATAAAATAATCACTTGTCAGGAAATATAAAAATCAAACATGAAAACCCCTAATGATAATAAGAACATAGCTCAGAAATATTTAGATATGGGTAGAATCCATTAACTCACAATTTAACATAAAATGTGATGAGGGCAGATTTGGCCCTCCAGTGAAGTTGCGACACGTGGCACCCCGTGACAACTAGGCAAGTCCCCAGGCAACAACTTACCAAGTT